AGTCCATACATGTATAATTTCTTTAGATCCAAGTCTCTTGAACAACACAGATCGGTCACTCCTCTGGCAACGCCAAGGGGTTTCCTTCACTTCAGCTTGCGTTTCATTCCCTTTCTAAGAGACGATCATTACAAACCGAAATTAACTTTCTTAGGATTCTCAGACGTCACTTAATATTATTCTCTGCTGCTTGGATTGTCTGAACTTCAACAGGGCAACCAATTCGACTGTATTAATATGATTGCAGTCAGACAATGCCAATCTTTCAGCATTAACTATATAACGCCTTTATCTGATTTAGGAGATGTGGCGAGTCTCACACTGCTTTATTGCTATTTCCATGGAAAGGGGCTCTGACGAACTACATTCCTTGGTTCCGCCAGGTCTAGCCTTCATGGCTAGGACCCGCTATGCTGCTTACATAGTAGCAAGACACCCACATTCTCTCTGTATTCCATGGCCAAGGATGCATCCCAAAAACTGCCCAGAGTACTGCAAGACAAGAGGATTACTTTGGTAACAAAGAAAAGAGTACTGAGCTTCTAGGTGACATCTGTCCTCCTTTACAGAGATGAAGAAGAGACTCGAAGCGACGGAGATGTGGTTCTACAGAAGGATGCTAAGGATATCATAGAGCGAGCGTGTGAACAACGATAAGGTTTTGGAGAGGATGCAAACAAGCTTATACTTAACATCAGGAAGGAGCAAATTTCTGGGACACGTCATGAGAAATGAGGGCCTGGAGAATCTGGTACTCACAGGTCGAATAGAGGGAAAAGGAGACAAGGGAAAGCAACACATGGCACATCTGGCGGACTTAAGCAAGTGGATGGCAGAACGTGGCTTGGGGGAGTTGGAAGGGACATGAAACTTGTTGACATAGGGGGAAGTGGAGAGCCATGATCGCCTACGCCCTGAAAGGAAAAGTAGGTTCCACTCAAAACAGATTATTTCCGCTAACCACTGTCCTGTGGAACTCCCATTTTCGCCTGATACTACTACTACTACTTATAAGGAAACATTCGTTATACTTGGACCGAGTAAAACTCTTCCATTGTCGGTTGAAATTTATAATATTTTTCTATTAAAACAATATTCATGAAAATAGATTTCTCCAGTTCACTAACTGTTGTCGCTCTTTCCAGTACTGACGGGAGCTTCATTGCTTAACCTTTTACTCGAATTAGTAATGGAGAAGCAACAATTTATTATGTGATTATTTCTTCTTCGAGTTATAAGGGTTAATCCATTTTAGCTGCTGCTGTTGTTGTTGAAAGTCCTCGAGTGATGTGGTTTTTGTTATTTATTAGGTAAAGATCTTTCTTTGTGATTCTGTAGCGCCAGTTTGAGATTCGAACAGAGGTAGTCCTATATAAGACACACCGGCTTCATTCGCTCGAAGCCATTTTTAATCATTGATCTGAGAAAGTGTGGTTGTTTACAGCTGAACAAGTTTGTCACTAAACATAACATCCACAGGAAAGTCTCGATCCGACGAGGCTATTTAAGATCAATTCAAGTTTTTAGGATAATGTTATGATTTTGTGGTATTGGATCAAGCTAAACCAGTAGCTTTTATGTTTAATTTCCTTATCTCATATACTAAATTTGTTTTAATTGATCCATACACCGAAGTATTTCGAAGAGTTTAGTAACCTACCAGACTTCCCCATATTGAGAAAAATTCTCGTCTGCTCAGGTTGTTTTTCATTTCCATGATCTTATTTCCATTCAAAAAAAAAAAAAAAAATTAAAAAAAATAAGCTCAGTCGCCATGTCTCTTTTCAGTTTGAACCATCAAGTAAAATATTTTTTCAACAGTTCCGTTAGAAATAACTGAAACTGACTGAGATATCCGGAAGAGGCATGGCACGTGGAACAAGAACAATCTATTCCGATGGACGAAATAAAAGGTTCGAATCGAAATTCTAATCACCTGAAGAAGGCCAGAACATACCACAACCGAAAAATCGTGAATGTGACATCCAAGATGAGGAGAACAGACCGAACAATGTAAATACTTACACTACCTCATGTCAGGAATATAGACATATCCTGAAGAATGCCGGAGCGTACAATGGCCAAAACGTCGTGAATATGACTATAAAATGAGGACAACAATCTGGACAATGTAAATAGTGTAAATAGTTAAAATACTTCATCTCAGAAATATAGACATATCAAATTTCTTTAAATGATCGACTACTTCAGCTGTTGCCACTTCTGTTTCGTCCACTAAATCATTAGTTGTTTTTGTAGCATCTTAATTCGCTGGACGCAACCTGTCCTATGTTCAAGTTTCTCATCTCTTATATTAAATGAAACCGAGTGGTTAGAATGTTCGCTTTTTGATCATGCGACCCGGGTTCGAATCTCACCATGGTCGATTTGGCATGTTATCAGTCTGGAGGATCTCAGCGTGCGGCACCTTTGGAAAGTGTCTGAAAACCATACCACGGGTTGACCGAAGCCTTGTGAGTGAACGGAGACGGAAAACCCTTCGGGAGTCGCCGGTGGTTGTGCTAGCCCGAAGTCACAGGTCATCGTGACCGAGTGTGCTGGCCTTGTTCAGATTGTTGATCACGCTAGATAACGCGCTCTCACCCAGAAACCATAACTAAGGTCAGCTCAGAATAGTTGCAGTTTAAACCACGGGTGGGCTCTGTGGGTGACGAACAAGCACAAATGCGCCTGAGCAGGCGTCTGCAACAGGGATTAGCTAGCCGACCGAGTAGACAAGCACCCTCAGATACGAGTGGCCATCCATCCATATATATTAAATGTGTAATAACTGATCCAGACATCGAGGGATTTAAAGCGTTTAAAATTTATCAACTTTCTTAATTTTTATGATTGATCCAGAAAAGAATTACTTTCATCACAATTCCAGGTCATGGTTCTTGTTTTAGAAATGTATATCTGAAGTTCATATTCTTTGAAAACTTGGTATAGAATATTGATCTATTGTCCATGGTCCGTTTTAGTCCAGTTACAAATCCCTACGCGGTCAGTATCGATATAGGAGTTAATGTCTCTCTTGAATGTTTTCCAACTTTCCCAAAATCGTCTTGAGGATGGTTTTTGCCGCAAAATTTAATCTAATTCACAGCGTAATTAAACAGAACGTTCTTCCTTTGTAGAACACCAACCGGGAATTCTGCAGTTTCCTCCAATTAACATCACTTGTTTTGAGAACAGTCATGCTAACTCAGCTGTGATTTGAATATTAAACCAAAATTCCAGTATGAATTAAATTACTAATATTCTCACACTACACAGTACAGGAAAAAAATAAATAAATAGAAAACAAATATACTAACAATGAAACCCCACCTTGAAAACAGCTAAAGTATTGTGTGTAGGAGGCAATTATGACGACGGACTGTTTCGTATAGAAACAGTCTGTCGTCATAATTGCCTCGTACTCACAATAAATTGAGGTAACTCACTCTTAAATAAAAAGCAAACTCGAATTCATAAAAAAAATTGAATATAAACTTCTAAAATAATTCTTGTCCTTTGTATTTAATGAAACATGCATAAAAAAAAGGTTGCTACCTATATATATATATATATATATATATATATATATATATATATATATATATATATATATATATATATATATATAACAAAAATATAGTTTTAAGGTATACAATGTTTATACAATGTTTTTGGGTGCCCAATATCAGGGAAACAGCTTATGTAAATATAAAAGTGTACATTAGACTGAAGATTGTGTTTAAGCCTGAAACAGACTGTTGCCACTGGGTGCTGACCTCAATTTACAATCTTGCTTTTATACATGTTTCATTGTACGATTTTTATCCAGTTTTTATATATATATATATATATATATAATATTAGTGCTCAATATATATATATATATATATATATATATATATATATATATAGATAGATAGATAGATAGATAGATAATAAAAAGTGGTCAATATATATATATATATATATATATATATATATATATATATATATATATATATATATATATATATATATATATAAATTCCCAAGAGGATAGAATCCAGGTAGAACTCAATGTCCAGAACAGCGTAAGAATATAATAAAAGGCTCAAACAATAATATTCTATGGTTATAATTTATTACATTGGAATCGTAATCATGATACAATTCATCAGACCTACAAATTCAAAAAGAAATTTCTTTTTGAATTTGTAGGTCTGATGAATTGTAACAAATTATAACCATTCTATAAAAAAAACTTATAAACACAAAATATATCAAAATAATTGTCGAACTTAATCCATTTCACAGTATATTTTGTCATTTGTTTATGTTAAGATACGCTTCGAGCAGATATGATTGTTCAAGAAAGATGGTGGGAAATTTGTTATTTAAAAACAGTAATTTCATGTTGCGAACATGACGCATGCTCTGTAGCTAAATGGTATAGCACATTAGGGAAAATGACGTTTCCGTGTAGAATACAGGTCCAATTCCTGTTGTCGGATATATTTTCTATGAAACTTTTCATGCAAATGAAATTAATGCTGTTTGTTACAAATAGACCATTTACTCAAATATTTGTATCTATATAATAACATTATTTGTCTTTGGCAAATAACATTTTCTTTAGTGTGAAGTAAAGCAGTTTTAATCTGAAAAAAAGGAAGGGGGAGAATATAAACAAAAAACGATTATCATTATGCTTCTAGAGAAAACACAGAAGATTTGGCAATGCTAAATTTGAAATGTTCAAATTTATGGCGTCTCACGTGTCTAGACGTAACAATTCAGTCGATTTCATTTAGTTTCACAACGTGAGAAAAAAAGAAAATTGTTTAAAAAAATTTTTTAGTCTGATGAAGTCCTTTTAAGTGACGAAACGCGTCAGAGTTTTTTTACAATTTGTCATTCATCTACCCACTATTTACACACACACACACACACACACACACACACACACACACACACACACACACACACACACACACATGTATGTATGTATGTATGTATGTATGTATCTATCTATCTATTTCAGTCTGTTTATATCTATCTATCTATCTATCTATATTTTTTTACATCGAGTACTGTTTTATTACTACCAGCACACACTGCGCTCTCTCTCTCTCTCTCTCTCTATATATATATATATATATATATATACACACATACATACATACATACATTTATATATATATATATATATATATACTGACACACACTCACATACACACACACACACACAGTGTGTGTGTGTGTGTGCGTATGTGCGTGATTGTGTGCTTATATGACGATAGAGAAAGAGAAATACAGATAAAGGAGAGACAGGCATATATATACCAGCATATATATATATATATATATATATATATATATATATATATATATATATATATATATAAGTAGATAGAGTATGCCTGTGCTCACGCTGTTTATATTTCTTTCACACTCTCTTGCACACAAAAACACACACAGACACACACATATATATATATATATATATATATATATATATATATATATATATAGGCAGACAAATCACCTTAGCATGTTTTCAATTTTGAATGAATGTTTCTATTTGTTGTGTTTTCGGCCGAAAAGCTTTTGCTATGACACCTGTGTAACTAGAGAATGCGAAGCAACCATTTCACGCCCGATTATTTTTCATCTAATTACTTTTGGAAAACACTGTAGCATTTCTTTTCCCTTTGTTCCACGCAATAAGAAAAGAATTTTAAATCCTTTTTCTTCTGTTTCTTCCTTTAACCAACTTCCGTTCGCTGTAAGTTCCCATTCTACATAAAGACTCTTCCACCCATTTTTGATCAGTCAATGTCTCGACCAATTGCTTTTGTTTCCCCGCCACTTTTTTTCTACACCACCCGCCATTTCGTACTTCGCTTTTCATCAAATTCCTTTTCCTCTTTTATTGAAACAAAACTGATTTCTTTTTTCTTTTTTACATTCCAACAAGATCCATTTCCTTCATGACTACAAATTGAAAACATTGATTCGAAAGCGGAAGATTTTTAACCCTTTTGCCGAAAACAAATAAATTTCTTCAGGAGAATTGTTCTCGGAGGACGAAATAATTTTCTTCTTTCTTTTCTTTCCTTTTTCGTTTCTTTTGGAGTTTTTCTTCCTTTTCTTCTTTTATTTAGTTTCTTTTTCTTTCATTCTTTTTCTTTTCTTTCTTTTTTTCATTCTTTCCTTTTATACCTTTTCTTTTTTTTGTTTCTCTTTGTTTCTTTTCTCTTTTCTTTTCAACTATTTTGTTTCATTTTACTTCTTTTTCTTCTGTTTTTGATTTTCTTTTTGTTTTGTTTTTTTAATTTTCTATCTCCCTATTCTTTTATTCTATTTTCCCTTTTCTTTCTTTCTTTCTTTCTTTCTTTCTTTCTTTCTTTCTTTTCATCACTCTTTCCACCCATCTTTTCTTTTCCTTTCTTTATTTATCTATCTACTTCACCATTATTTCTTTACTTTTCCCGTTCTTTCTTTCTTTCTTTCTTTCTTTCGTTCTTTCTTTCTGTTTCATTCATTCATTCATTCATTCTTTCTTTCTTTCTTTCTTCAACACCTTCTTCATTTGTTTATTTCTTCCTTCTTTTTTCCTTGATTTTGTTCATTTTCGTTTTCTTTCTTTTTTACACCGTTTCTTTTCACATCTTCTCCTCCTGCATGATTCACTTGCGTTAGACACACAAAACGTTTTATTTCTTTTTTTTTTACACTTTATAGATTAGAAACTTAGACGTAATGTCTATCTGACATTCAAGAAGGATGTAGGTCCCCCTTCATGTTAGAAGCATCACACTACTCTGATGTCATTATTCTCGCTAACGCCGCCAAGATATTGTGTAGGCGCATGCTTGATCACAAATGGAAATATTAAGACAATCTTCGTATATCTTTCATTACCTCCAGTTTTGCTCCAATTTGTCTGCATGATTGAACATGGCGGAGATATAAAGTCTCAATTGAGGTTTGGAGCAACTACAACTGACCTGGCTATGGTTCAGCTCCTTCAATACAACTGCTTTGCCAAATAGAAGGCGCTGTCACACACAGACATTCCCGAGACAGAGAAACCCTATTTCCGGTCTACATAGGGATGTCTATCTCTATCTATAAAAGACAGGATGTGTGTGTGTGTGTCTGTGTGTGTGTGTGTGTGCGTGTGTAACGAATGCACGGCCGCAGTTTTCGACGGATTTGCTCCAAAATTTACATGCACATGATCCAAGTTAGCGGGAAGGCCAAGACCGACTTTGCATTTCCCAACTCCCATCGACAGTGGAAATAATCGATTTTTTCATGCTTCTACGGCACTTTTCATGTAGTTTGCGGTCATTTTCTACTGGCCAGAGTGAGAGCCACGAATAGGCAGGAAGATTCTATTGGCCAGCGTGAGAGCTAACAGCTGACTGACACTAATGTTAACTAGCATGCTAGCATGCAAAAAAAAAAAATTGATAGCTGCATTCGTCACAAGTGGGATTTTGTTTTTCAACGTCGGTAACGTATTTTTCTGAGAGATTCTGGAGCACATGTATACCAAATTTAGTGTTTGTAACACCAAGTGAATGATTATTTCAGTAATTTGCTGCATTATTGCCCCATTGATGCAGAATTAATGAGAGTCAACATGAACTGTATAATAAAACTAATGACTGTGTTCTTTAAAGTAAAAATAAAGGTAGTCAGAGTGAAAATCACATATTTTTTCCAAACTGATTCAATTATTAAACGGTATCTAGATCAATCGAAACGTGTGTATGTTTGATAAGCTGCAAAATCAATTACAGCGATAAATAAAAAAAAAAAAACAGACAAAACAATTGAAGTTTTTCTTTATGATGCGAACTAGGGTGAGTTATACCTGTTTCCATGTTTTCGCAAACAACCTCCCACTCTGTAATACACGCATATGTGTTTGTTGTGATTTCTCAGTAGATTTTCCCCGTTTTATTCGTTGCTGAAACTGATAAGTCATGTCCAGGTGAAAAAGAAAACAATCAAATTTTACAAAAACAATTTTTTTTTTCACTGACTTTCGAAAAAGGGCCAAGTCTTATATTTTTCAGTTAATTGTCTGCTGTTGGAATTTATGTAAAAACGTATTTTAAAATGTTCAAGGATATTCGAGCTTTTATTCTTTGGATCTTTCGTGAATACGTCATTTGTTGCAATTTTGCGGTACACAATCTAATTGTTGCGTTATTCCACTAATAACTCTTTAAAAAATCTCTTAAATACACACAAACACGCGCGTACACACAATCGTATTACCTTGTCTGACTTCTTTTCTAATTTTTAATTTATTTGCATGTGTGCATTCACATAATTGCAATACTATTAACACACACACACACACACACACACACACACACACACATATATATATATATATATATATATATATATACAGAGGGTGTCTCTAAAGTATGGACACATAGAAAATCTCATTAACTATATTTTTTTTACGTCCAAGGTTAAACATGGTTTCATTGAAATAAGAAAGAATTGTCTTTTTCTGGGGTATTCTAAAGGAGAAGGCGTACTCAATGAAAATCACAGATGCCCTTGATTGAATGAATAAAGAGTGAATGTGGTAAAATTGGTGGCAATCTGGAGTTGTTGCCCTGAGTTCACTTGAATCTTGCAAATCGCACCAAACTTTGCATCACAAATGATGTAAATCATATCGAAGATGTTATTTGTTAATATTCAAATTCAATAAAATGTTGTTGAAAATTTAATTCTTGATAATATGCTGTTTTGCCTCTGCGTTCAGAACATGTTTTATCAAACCAAATTGACACGGATATATTTGTTAAGTTTTTATTATATTTTTCTTCCAGACGAGGAAACATTTGTTGGGACTTATTTTTGTTATTTATATGTTGATCTATTGTTGCACGGGTTGCAGTAAATGATAAAAAGAAACAAGGGAGACTGCAGGATGGATCAGGTAAGCAAAAGACATTCCTGAAATTAAAGTGCCACATCTCATATATATATATATATATATATATATATATATATATATATATATATATATATATATATGAAATAACAATATATATTTTAATATATCAAGCACAATACTGGGGAAAATGTATGACAAAGTGGAAAAAGTTTTCTTGTGATATCTTTCGTTTTTTAGGGATTCATTGGACTAAATTTGTTATGTTGGTGCAACTACACATGCGCACGAACGATGGATGCTGGGAATTTTTATCATTTGTTTTAATCTATCCGATTTCATTTATATTATTTCTTTTTCTTTCTATCACTTTTTTTATTAGATATCTCTCACTGTGGTGATAAAAGTTCTGCCAGGAATGGTGAAATATTGTACGAGCCTGTGCGCTAATTTACTGTGGATGACTTTGCGGTCAAGGCACACCTTAGACAATTTCTTCGTACTGAATTGTTTTCTACTGTAATCAGGGTATTAGCATTGGTGAAGGTAACATCAATCACCTAAGTGACAAACTTTTACTCACATTAATCCTATATATATATATATATATATATATATATATATGGGAGAAGGCTATATAAATTTTTAGATATCAAAAACAGTTTTGTAGGAAAGATGTATGACAAAGCGGAAAAATTTTTCGTGTGATGCGTTTCGACCCAGGACTAGGTTTGTTTACGTACTCTCTTTCTTTCTTTCTTTCTTTCTCTCTCACACACACACACACACACATACATATATATATATATATATATATATATATATATATATATATATTCCGTGGTGGAACCCATCCAAGTTCCTTTAGCCATAGAGCTAACGACTACTATCCCCAAGCCGCTCCATCCAGAGCATTAGAAGCCGGTTCAAGCAAGGATATACAAATGTTAGAATTAAGGAAGATTTGAGATAATTAAGTAATTCATCGAGTCTAGAAGAAACCTCAACAGAATGCAGAAAGCACTGGACGGCCGTTTCTCATCAGCAGTGCGCATCCACTACCGAGAATTGAAACCTGGACAATTACATTGACAGGCGAACGTCATACCAACTGTACTAACAGGCCTCGGTGACGAAGAGGTAACGAACTAGCGGAATATGTGAACGAGCGGCCCAATATCAAGTCTGTCTATGGAAAAATCTTCCGAGACAATGCTTCCCTGACAGCTACAATCTTGGTCTCTTTAAGCCCAGGGTTAACCGATATCTATCCTATTCGTCTTTATAATAATCTCTTATTTTCCCCGTCCTTTCAACAATCTCACTTAATAAGACTCTACCTTGGGCCTCCTTTTGGGTGAACTAACAGTAAAAAAATCTTTTCATTAAATCTCAAATTTTAATAAAAGCTTCCTAATTTTCTAAGTAAATTTATTTCTTCTTTATGAATTTCTTTAATGTTATCACTGTCCAAATTGGATGTATTACTGGAACTTTTCCAGTTCTTCATCCTTTACTTTTAAAATATTTTTTGAACCTTGCAAATATTACTTTTGTTTTATTTGTGTTCATTTAAAAACTTGCACTGAGAGTTTCGTATTTCAGCTCATTTTAGCATTTACCTTATGATTCGGATATTCGTAAAATCTGATCAAAAATACCAAACTTGCTTCAAATAGTCTCCGTTTTAGTTTACTACAACTTTTCCCAGTTCATTTTCCAAAATATACTTTCGATGCATACTTTAAATAATTTAAACAAAATCGTATTACCTTGTCTGACTACTTTACTAATTTTTAATTTATTTGCATGTGTGCATTCACATAATTGCAATACTATTAACACACACACACACACACACACATATATATATATATATATATATAGTGTATCAAAAATACTCTTACAAACTTTGGGGTGGCTTCCTCACACCAAAACATGGACAAAAATCCACATAAACATACATCCGCAAATCCTTCGTTTTTGATTTATTTAAAATTCAAAGAAAGTTTACAGTAAATGGCGCTGTGTTGCATTGTACACTAAGTTACATTTGTCATTCATGTACATTCGTGGCTAGTCTGTTTTCAACGTTTAACGTGTGTAGAAGTGAGTTAATTGAGAAATATTCCATTTAACAATAGCAGGATATTCATATCGCGAGCAAGTAGATCTGAGTTTTGCATACGGCCACGCGAATGGAAATGAGGTTCTACGACGGTATCAGATTCCGTTTCCAGGCCGAAGGCAGCCGAGTCACCCAACCTTTGCTGCTGTTTATCGTTGCTGAGACAAGATCCACGGAACCACAAACTATGGATCGAAGTAGACCTTGATACCCTCGTACACCTGACCACGAAGGACACAGGTAATAGCACACATCAAGTGGCCCTAACATGTCGTACATCACATAGTACAGAATGGAGGGTACTTCAAGAGCAACTCCTGTATCCGTATCATTTGCAAAGTGTGCAAGGGCATTCGCCTTCTGATCACTCACGACGGGGGAACCTTTGCCGATGGTTTATTGCACAAACTGCCAATCCGTTATTTGTCTCTTCGGTCTTGTTTACGGATGAGGCAACATTTGAAAAAGATGAAATAACAAATTTACACAACCAACATTTGTGGGCGGATCGGAATCCCTATTGTATAATATAGACTAGACACCAGCATCAGTTTACTATTAACGTGTGGGCTGGAATTATAGGCGACCGTCTGGTAGGTCAATATGTTCCTCCAGCACATCCTACAGGAGCTGTCTACAGGG